TCTAATTTAAATAAATATATTTGTAATTTAAATGTTATGTTAATAAGTTTTGTTAAACATACATTTAGTATTTTTTATATTTGAAATATTTTTTTACCTTTTAAAATATTCAGACAAAAATATCATTAAAATGTAATTGTGATATAATATTATGTAATATTATATTAAATAAGCAAATATTTAAATTTTGTCATTTATTTTCTATATTATATTAATATACGAAATAAATGACAAAATTTAAATATTGTTCTCGATATAACTTACCTATTTAACAATACAATCTACTATTACCTACGGGTCATCCTATGTTTATTCTATGATAAAAAACAACCGCGCGAACACAGAGTAGCGCACATTTTTGTTTGAAATAGCTGTTCTAGTACGTAAGTACATATTACTTCAATGTAAAAACAGAAAATAATTCAATCACTATTTTCTAGGGTGAAATATCGATTCACTGGACCGATTCACACTGTATTTTGATCTCAATTAAATTCATTAATATAAATAACTTTCCAAATTGTACAAGACACCTAAAGTCGTTATTTGCCGATGACAGCACTGTAATTTCATAGTAATAACTATGATGAAATAGAAGGTGAAATTAATAATAGTTTTATATCAATTATTGACTGGTTGAAAGAAAACAACCTAAAAATTAATCTAGACAAAACGAAAATAATGACATTTCGAATGAAAAAAACCTCAATAAATCTACACATTAAATATATGGGCCAAGACGTAATAGAAACAAAGGTAAAAAAAAATTGGGACTACTTAAAGACAATGATGTGTTGTGGAAAACTCAAAAAGATTACATTTTGATTTCTTATATTTACGTGAACGTCACACAATGATTAATACTACTTTTACGGATTTTATCGCGTTTGATTTTAATTATTTTAATTTTTAATTACCGACGTTTCGGGTGCTTTCCAGCACCCATGGTCACGGGGGACTGAGGTAATTGACGTCCCGACGTCATTGTTAAACCCGGAGTACCTTCAGCTTTTTTTCATTATTGTTTATGGTCCGATCTATGCAAAATGAACTGACCATGTCTTGAGGTCTTGCAGTGGTATGCTTGGGTTTAGTTTTAATTTTATTAATTATAGGGTCCCAAGCATGTGGTAGTACCCAGCCTCCTTCTCTATTGAAATAAGGATTTTTTTTAATTTCAATAGCCTGACGTATCATCCTTGGTAGGAATCGGTGTTCTTTCGCGAGGATTTGTGGTCTATCAAATCTAATGTAATGGATGAGTCATCTAGGATATGATCACAAACTGCTGACTTACCGGAACGTTGATTTATTTATTATTATTATAAGAGAGAACACATTCACAATCAAGCTTGTACACTCTTGCATCTTGTAGAGGAATATGACACTTGACGGATGGTAGGAACTGACTAATCTTCGTCGGCGGCTTGTAGAATGTTCTAATAGAAGCTCGCTTCAAGATGTAGCTAATCTTGCTAACTGTGAAGGATGGTGGTGAGATTCACCGTTTAAATATCAGTTCGTATGGGTACAGTGTCAGGTTGTTAGAATTTCGGTAGATCAACACATCTAGGAAAGGTAAGGAATTATTTGCCTCTAACTCCATAGTAAATTGAATTTTATAGTTTATGGAATTAAGATGTTCTAAAAATGCAGTTACTTTGTCTGATGGTAAAATTGTGAAAGTATCTTCTACGTACCGCTTGTAGATCCTTGGTGTAACAGGTGCAGTAAGGAGGGCTTTCTCTTCAAAGTATTCCATGAATATATCGGCGACAATGGGAGATACAGGTGAGTCCATCGCAACACCATCTACTTGCTTGTAAAACTCTTCCTTCCACAATAGATAGCCAAATGTAAGGCAATCACTGAGTAGTACTGCATATTCTGCTGGCATGTTATTCTCCTCTAGTTTCCTAGTTAGCAATCATGTACGTGACACAGTTAAGTTACACGTGGTAGAGTCACGCTGTAGCGATACTATGCTTGTAGCACGGTTGGGTCGGTTTTACTGGGGAGGAAACACGCTCCAGAGTGACAGCGCATCTGTATTTTGGTTCTTAATTTAAAAAAAATCTAGATTTCTATTGGTTACAGCATCCAATCATAAGATTACACATCACCATAAGATTGAAGTTTTGCCCGCTTGTCACTCATATTCTTAAAAAAAGGTATCAGGTCTCTAGTACCTTTGATGCTGCTCCTTGATGCTGGTCAGAGTATAAGCCTCTGGCATAAACGATATGGTGCTTCCACCAGATGAACATGTTCACAGACTCCAGATTCCCGGAGCATCGGTGCTGGAATTAAAATGTACCAATTAAACGCGATAAAATCAATAAAATTTATTTCATATAATGTGTAGTGAAAAGGAACCAGACAAACGTTAAACTAAGAAACAGAAAGGGAGAATCGAGGCTTCTCTCGATCCGGCCTCCTACAACGCCTACGTTGGGTTCGGGAACAACGTATGTGATCTCCGCAACGGAGTAACACACAAGGGCGATAACCTCTTCCTTTTCAGAAAATATTTTCAGGCGAGGATTACGGGTCTTCCGAAGTCGTCCCGGTCCCAACGCCCTAATTCTTCGATATGGACTGTATCACTTTAAGGGGAGAATTCCTTGGGAATAAAACAGCAATTATCTTCAAACCGTTCCGTGAGAGAGTAATTACTTTTCCCTATCACTTCCCTATACTTTTTCTTTCTTCTTCTTATTGACTGCTGGTCTTGCACTTTTCCCGAACGATTTGCAAGATTCTTTTTTTGCGCCCGAAGCAATTAAAGGGCTACCCTATACGTAGGGAGGCGGAAAATGCATTACGCATACCACGATAGCCGGTCTATCGTGGTTATGAGGGGCTCACTGTCCTACCGGGGACCCTAAGTGATACCCTCTAAAAACCGCCTTTGGGGACAGGCAACCGGCTGATTAAGCTCTATTGTGCCTTATCATGAGCGACCCTCTTTTGGGAAAAGAGGGCGCAGGCGGCTAAGTGCCGCTGAGGGAGTGCCTACGAAGGCAAATTAATGTTAGTTATTACAGTAATTTTATTTAATTAGAGTTGGCCTGAGCCGCCAGGAGACAGTTCAGGTCGTTTGAAAGTTTATTAGGCTGGTCCGAGAGAGAGTTTCTCGGCCTGCGGACACGATAGCGAGAGGGGGGTGGGGCTGCATAAGAAGCTGCCTCACGAATTAAATGGTTTGGGTGCGACTCTAAGGCTTTGAAGAAGTTCTCAGAGAGTTTTTTAAAAAATTGTTGAATTGTTGGGAGCTCTAAGTCCCGATGAAGGTCGGCAACGACGTACCAAGGTGCGTTCGCAGCTCGACGACAGAAGAGGTTCTGAACTATTTGGAGTTCATTTAAAATATTAGGGTTTGCGTGGGCAAAGACGGGGCCCGCGTAGGAGGTTTGCAAGAAAAATCAATTTACTGAACTACCTCGAAGCTAAACGCGAAAGTGAGCCGCGCCATTTGTGCGCTTGCGCAACTCAATTACATCAATTTGTACTATCACTCTCTCACGGTTTGCTCAATAACTTTATTTGTATAAGACATACATTTATACAATTTACTTATAAAAGTAGCACAAAAAATATCTATACTACGATATACATTACATTTTCATATCACAAAAAACCCTTTATTTATTTAACAAAATATGCTTATTTTACTCACATGTTCAAAGTTGGAATTTCTTAAATATTTAACATAGAAAGTTAAAACAATGTTTTCCACTTGAAATTATACATATCTTAACTAATACAATAGATTAATTTACATTTTCTCTATACATTTCACTATTAAAACACTTTTAAATTTGTTATACAAAACTATCATTATTTCACTTATTCACAGGAATTTTCACATAAAATAACACAGAATTCACCTCTTTTACACGTACAATCAATCTGAAATGTTTTACAAGAAATTTTACATAAATTGCTGAAATTTGCAAATATTTAAATTTCTACATATTTGGCCTCCTAAGTACGTGGCTAGCGTGCGTCTATGAACTCACACTATTTGAACAACTAATTTTGCACGGCTATCGACTATCAGTAAAAATGGAAAGTTTAGTATACACTAATATCAACAGGTGAATAAATGATTCTACATAATTCTCAAACGCCGAAAACTATTTCTAATCAGATTCTTATCAGTTATCATGTTTATCAAACAATATAAGTGAATGTTTTCATAAATCAATCATAGAAAATAGGCATTTGTTTTCATACAAAACATATCAAACTCATATAAGACAATACTTATGCAATTAACTTCCATTAACTCTATTTATGCACAGCGATCATCTCGACCGGGGAACAAATCCTGGTCTCTAACTTTATTTTAATATTTCTTTAAATTAACATTATTGGAAAGATGATTTCAACCGGGGAACAAATCCGGTAACATAATTTATATCTTAAAAATTCCCTATATGCATTTATTAAGAGATATTACTAAGAAAACGATAAACTATTCCGGCCTGGGAGTCGAACCCAAGACCTTCATATTGTTACGGCTTGAGGTTCGTGACAATAAAAATGCCGATAAAATTACCTAAATTAACACTTTAATTATTTTACAAAAAAAAAAAAAACATAATCACTTAATCCGCCGCTTGTTTGCGGCCGTAATTATCCCCCCCCTTGCAGCCCCTATTAAAACAAAAAAACGAAGGTTCAGAAAACGCGCAAGGGGGGAGCTCGAGTCTAGTCGGCGCTGTGGGGTTGTTTTTTCCCCCCTCGCTCCTCCATAGGGGTGGTAGTTGTGACAAAATATCATTAATTCGATATTTCTTTAAGATTCAACTAAGCATTTTCTTATCGGAATATTGTTGCTTGATAATTTGCTTTTTAGAAGCTATTCGTAATCGGTTAACTAATAAATTGAAATATTCTTATAGGCGCGTCGCCAACAGTGTAGTATTTGCGTAAATATAAGAAATCTACTCAGTGAAATTAAAATGAGGCTGTTGATCTAAGTTATTTTGTAGTGGAAAAACTGGAGGTGGCTCTGCAAGTGGACGATCGCATGAACAATATGCGTGCGCTGGTGGCCGACTACGAAGCACAGTTGGATGGGCTCGATGCCGGATTCAATACTCAGGTAGGCACTATGTGAATAAATATAGCATAATAAAGGTTGTTTTTTTTTTTTAAATACGTGTGACAAACGAGTACATATTCCACTTTTTGGTAAATACAGTCTGCGGACCGCATACCCGCACATCTCTATAGACTAAGAATAAGATAATTACCAGCGTAAAATAACAGCTCAATGCTAATGTGTTTCCAATGGCTTCATAGTCGCTTCATAATTATAATCTTCATAATCGCCTCAGCGAGAAAAATCTTTATTTTTATTAAAAATATTAGCTGCATCGTGGCTTTACGGCGTTGGTGATTCATAAATGCCTTTCCTTTTTTTCTGGCCTATAAACAGTCCACTGCTAAACAGGAGCTTCTTCCACTGTAGGCAAGATATATCTTGATCACCAAGCTTAGTAGATGCATTAACAGACCTCAGAGACCTGGTCATGTCCCTGTCTCCTAATTGGGTAGTTATTTTTCTGTTTTCTTGTTACCGCGACCAAAATCAATCTGAAGGACATTACTAGATAGATGATGGAACCGCCATATATTCGGAACCCCTGAAAATTTTCTGTTATTCCTTACAGTTCTTACAACATCTATTTCAAAATCTATTTCACATAATGGGATGATGAATTCTCTTCGTCTTCATTACACAAAAAACACATATATGGAAGTATTGGCACTTAATATTTTCAGATGCAAGGTTTTCAAGAGCAGATGGGTCAGATTCGCATTGAGCTCAAGGAAGGGTTGGAACAGCTCGCCGGCGCTAACGATAATACTGAGGCTACAGGTTCGTGACGGCTCTGGAAAGTGATCTACATATTTAGTAATAAGGCAGACAATTTAATTTCCTATTCTTTAAACGAGCAAATCTAAATTATAGTATTTTATGTGTTCGCGCCACTTGTGTACTACCGCCTAACGTTAAGTTTCGGGAACGGTGCTGAAGCTTTTTTAAAACTACAAGTATGTCTCGATGACATTTATTATTATTACATTATAATAATGTATGAAAGCTAATTCAGTGTAATACTGAGTTCCTTAACTAAGTGATTACATGACTACGATGAGCTCTGTAATGAATCTTATTCTAAATGCAACGGCTTATATAGGATTGTCAAAACAAGTCTGTTGACTGAAAGAAGACATCTTGATTAGACCAGCAATAACAGCTAACAAGTGGAGTAAGCGTCTTCATGAACGTTATACTTCATAACATGTTTTCAGTAATCTAATATCAAAGGCTTAATTGGCACAATTCGTGATCAACATGTTGTTGTAAAATTATGGGTAGAGTTGCAAATATCGTGTTTACGACTAATTCAGTTTGGCATTAACCAAATCTTCTACCATCTCCGTGAGTTTGCTGAAAATTTCGGTCTTAATATACAAAATCAATAACAAAGCGAGATATTAAAAAGATGGAGAGAATGAGAGATAAGGAAGCGAGGAAAGGTAGAGACAGATTCATAGAATTTCTGTCTACTTTATGTTATAAACGAGTGTTTTTGTTTAGCTATCAAGGAGTTATCTGAACGATATGAGAGCCTCGTCCTGGAGCTGGAGAAAGCGACCGACACCAACCAAGCGCTCGTTGCGTTCCAGCTGAAGCTACGTGACGAATTACGAGTTAGTATTAGCAGTTGAGTTTGATTGTCTTAAACAGTATCTAGACTATAGCTATAGGTTTTTATACCTGTAGTAAACGGAGAATAACTGACAAAAGCCCAACCGATCGTGGAGTGACAATAGGTTTGCCATATAGTTCGATAAACGGGCAATCGATGAGGAGGAAAGGTTCTAACTGGTGGCAGGTGCTACCTGCAAAATTTTAATTAGATGAAGAAATTAACCATCAGATAAAATCTAGGGAGTCAATTGATGGATGTGCCTTAAGACCGTGCTTGATAATTCGTATAAGGGGATGTACAGCGGACTTGTTGTTTGGCTGTAACGATGAATACAAATTTATTAATCACTGGGGTATACCAGAAGTTTTTTGATTTCAGGAAGTGACTATTGAATAATTATCTCACATTAGAAAGGAAGAGAAACTCCACGTGGTAGAGCCACGCTGCAAATATAATATGGTTGTAGCACGAGTAGGTTTGCTCGACCGGGAAAGTACCAAGCTCTATACCAACGTAAATAGCTCATGTGTTTCGTATGGTTTTTTCGTTCGTTATGGCTTTTTACTGGAAACCAGGCCTTCCATCTTAGTCCTCAGATGCAACGCATCTGCATCTTGATATTTATACGAGGAGAGTTGTAGATATCTATAAAGGTCTTCGCACATTATAACAACTCCACGCCAACGCGGCAGCAACTCTACTCACACTCTCGATGAGTAGTCAACTAGTTGATCCACCCAATGGTCACTAGTGGACAACGCGGTGTCAAGGAGTGGCCAACGCGGTGCCAACGAGTGGGTTATTCAACAGACAACTCGTCTAACCTCAGTTTTCGGTTAAATTTTGTCCAAAGAAGTCGTGTTGCACGCAACGCATAGTCGTTACGTGGACAACGTTTGGTCGTTGCGTGGACGACGTATGGTCATTGCGTGACAAACGTGTCGGGGTTGACCTCTAGTGTACGATGCGTAGGCCACTCGTTGTACACTACTTTATAATCATTTTTTGAAATTCAACCTTGAACATATGATACAGGGCTTAAATTTCAATGTCTAGCATAGAGTCGAGTCGCCGGTGAGTTGTTATAATGTGCGAAAACCTTAAGCCTCAGTATTCTCTTACCATCAGGTGGACTGTGTGTTCGTTAGTCACCCTTATGCTGTATAAAAGGGAAACATAAAGTAATTCAGAATTGAATTTCATTTGCACTTACAAACAATACAGATAAAGTGTATAGGAAAAAACAATTGAAAGAAAGAAATTTTATTTGTTGCTCAAACAAACAACGAAAAGACCTACTCTTACGCTTACCTTAATATAATGCTGCAGCAATGTTGCTGCAGCGCTGTTATCTGTTGGTGCTACTGACAACACCTACGAGCAATAATTAGGCGTAGCAGGATCGATTTTGATGAAATTTTATGAGTGTGATTGAGAATGGTTTAGATTCACAATTCGACCCGGTAGATGGCGCTGTTGTCAAGATCCAGAAACCATCCGTACGAAGCAGAGGCTGTCACTGAAAAAAAGCAATGTTACTGTATTCAACGGTTACAGTTACGATGAAATACAGCTAGTCTCCTCTATTATACGAGAGCCACAAGTCTACCAATAGGCTGATCACAACACGTTCATTATGAAGATGGACATTTTACGTAATTGCAGCGTCTTTAATAGGTTACAATAGTATATGAAATGATACAATTTCTTAATAATGTTTCAGGCCTTAGTGGAAAGTGTAGAGATGATGAGAGATCAGAAGGTGGACCGTGACGAGATCCTGGACGCGCTTCGGGATAAGGTGGGACGTAAGAATATTTTACACTAGCAACCCCCTCCGTCTTCGTCTAGGTGGTGTATAATAATGTCTTTTATCTAATGTTAAATTCAACAACCATTCATTAAAAAATATTTTCACAAAAGAATTCGCGTAAAGTATTTCGGCTAAAATATAGCCTAAATCCGGAACAGAGGTCTCACAATAGATTGTCTCATAGAGGGGATATTTGCAATAGGTGCCACGCTTGGCAAGTGGGTTGGCAGTCGCAGTTTTGTTATTTTTAGTCGTCTTTAGAAAGACGCTACTGCCCATCTCATCTTACAACACCCACGGGATGATATGGGGTAGCAGATATTCTCACACCGCCACTAATCGGTATGAGAGATTCAGAAATTGTTTATTTTATAATACGTGGTAGAGCCACGCTGCAGCTATATTATGCCTGTGGCTCGAATGGGTTGTCTCAACCGGAGTAGGGCCACGCTCTCAGAGAATATCAGTGTAAAATAGCACTCAATGCTATTGTGTTTCGTTTGGTGAGTGAAGAGAACCAGAGACCCTTTGTATTTGAAACTAGACATTTCACCTAAGTCCTCAAGGGTGACTATAATATATCTGCTTGCATGCACAACGCATTCTTAATCGAGAATAAACGTAGATGTCTAGGAGCCACATTATCCACTTACTATGGACGATGTACTCGTTTGTCACATTTATTCTTTAAAAGAATTTTAACGTTTAGATAGAGATTGTATCAAATAATCATTGAAATCAGAAATCATAAATATTTATGAAACAGGCGGATATGTCGCGGCTGACCGGTTTGCTATCAGAACAGGAGTTCGCAACTGCTCGCTCAGAGCTGGAGAGTTATTTAGAGCTCTGCAATGAGAAGTTCAAAAAACAAGACCAAGCGTGGATGGTGAGTTTCCATCGTGAGATATATAAGTCCCGGTCTCGTGGGCCTAAGCCTTAACTCCCTATTTTGGTGATCTCAAAACTTTTTCTCCAGAGTGCCGTGGAAGACATAATGATGACGGTGGAGACAAAGGCTAGTCAAGTGCAGATATCTACAATGCGCGAAGATTTGGGGACGCGTCTGCAGGAATTGCATCAATTGCTGCAAAAGTTGGAAGAACAGCTGGGAGAGCCCAAGGTATGCTTTAACTGCTCTAAGCATTAACGTTTGTTTTAATTAGGCTTTATTATTGTTTTTATTAGGAAATAATCAGAAATATCTCCTTTTAGTGTTTCGTGTCAAAATTAGCAAAATCGTTAGTCCGTTTGTCATAGACAATTTACTTCAAAACAGTTATCTAATGGCTTTCGATACATAGCAATGTTACCACTTCGTTTACAACAGGCTTAAAATACCTAGACCGGCAACGAGGAGCAGAGTCAAAGGTGCGAAACGATTGTCAGTCAGCCTACTAAGCGTAACGATTAATGATGAAGACCGAATACGGGCAAATGAAGATGAAGAAGAAGAAATCAACATAAATTACGAATGCTACTCCTTTTTAAAAAAGGCCGTTGGTTGGGCCATAGGTCCCTGCTTCGAACTGGGAACGAATGACCACAAATGTTGGTTCGCGAATGACTAAATGTATTGCGGGTTGAACGATAAGCTGCACTGTATCAGCGTGGTTCATTGTTATGAAACAAAATGGCGGACGGGGAACGTGACGGCCTTTGGACAAATATACTTGCTATGAATTTAATTTAGTACGTCAACCGGCACGACGGAAACATGAGCTGCTGTGGAAAAGGGAACAAAATAAAAACAGCTCAAGATTAAGGAACAGACACTTACCTGGGGTAGCTGATAGCGGCCTCTCTCTACGGTTCTGTGAGGTGACGAAAATTGTGTTGCAACTGGGGTAGTGCGTGACGAAAAATGTACTGGGGTTGACCGTTTGAACGCCACGACGAATTGTATTGTAGCGAACGGTCATGACGAGAGTTTGTATTGCACTGTGGCTAGACTGCCACTGCCGCTGTGCGCCGGCGGCGTGTTGCCTCCTTTCACTCTCGCAGAGCGCGCTTCTCATCGGAGGAACAAAATAAGTCCACCAATGTAGCCCCCCATTAGGCAGGCACGTGCGGGAAGGGAACGAAAGTGAAGAGAGGTTATATCGGCTAATTCACTAGTCGTTAACGCAAATCATATTTTACTGGAGTTGCAGTTCACCGTGTAGTGGCGGCTTAAGAATATTCACTACCCCATATCATCCCGCGGGCATCGTTAGAGGCGACAGAGGGAATCAAATCAGGAGCTGGGCAGCAGCGTCTTCTTAATAACGACTAAAAATAAAAAACTGCAGCTGTCAATCCGCGTGCCAAGCTTGGTGACTACGGCAAGTATCCCCTCTAAGGGACAATCTATGGCGGAGGCCTATAATCAGCAGTGGGCTTTGATAGGCTGTAACGGTAATGGTAACGGTGTTGCAGTTTCTCGTTGGCAGTAATCACATCAGGTGAGCAGCTTTATTCGCCTGCTATCTGAATAGCTGCTCGTACACAATAAGAACGGCCGCTAAGGGGTGTAATCTAGTGAGGGGTGGTAACTAAGGTGTCTACACTAACCAGGCGGCGCTGCTGCAGCGGCAACTGTCTCGCGACGCGGCGTGCGGGGCGTGCGGTGTGGCCGCGCTCGCAGAACTCGGGCCGCCCCCCGCGCCCCCTGCACTCCCCGCGCTGCACTCCCCCACCAAACGAGCGCCTCCCGAACCCCCCGCACTCCCTGTACAATCAGTACATCAGCCGTGCATCACGACGTTGCCGCGCGCCGATCTTGACGACGGAACGTAAGATTTCCAAATTTTTTTAATACTAATGAGGTACCTATAAGAGATCATTATAATAATTATTATTATATATAATAAAAATGTGCAATACAGGTTATTAAGACCAACTACTATCGGAGATACATCCTAAAGATTTGATTCTGAAGCGAGAGTAGCCTAATGGCAGGGCGCGGAGAGCGAACTCAAAAAGATCGTGGGTTCGAATCCGCCATTCGAGTACTAGCGTGAACCACTCGTAACACAAGCAATTTAAGCTTACCACGAGTGGTTAAGGGGAATATTAGTAATGTTTATAGCATAGTTAATATTTAAAAAAAAAAGGGATGGCACCGTCGACGTCTGTCGAGCTTGTCGCCATCCCGATGAGTCACTTAGGCATGTCATCTCAGGTTGTTTGGCGCTTTCTAACTTTGAATACTTGCATATGCACAACCTAGTAGCCAGGATTCTACACCAGGAGCTCGCTCTGAAATACGGTCTTGTGGATCGGAAACTGCCTTATTATAGGTACTTGTCGGAAGCCGTGCCCGAAAATGACCGCGCCAGGATCTACTGGGACCGGGCCATCATCACAGATAGGACTATCTTGCGAATAAGCCTGATATTGTGCTGATGGATCGGGCACAGTCAAGGGTATTAGCCTGTAGTCGTCTCTGCGAATGGGCTAATCCCAGTCAGCCTCTCGGGTTATCTGAGGCGACTGGGACTGAATGCAGAAGGCGGTGCTCCTCGATACCGCCCGCATCGTTCGCTGGTTTCTTTCCCTTTCCCCCTAACCCTCGGCCGCTTGGTCTCCCCTGCCGAGGGCTTCCATCTGGTAAGGCTTTTATTTATTTATGTATTTTTTGTATTTATTTTATTTAATCGATATTTATGTATATTTATCTTTTCATTTTCATTTATTATTATATATTTATAGAACCCAACCAGATGAGAAAACTATATAGATACCCCAAAAATATATATAATAATAATCCTTATTTCGATATATATCAGTAAAAAGTCTTTGTAGACTATGTATCGAATAGTATGGATGGTGGGTCACAAGTAGATGTAATATATACGGATTTTGAGAAGGCATTTGACCGTGTTGACCACAGTATCCTTCTGCGTAAACTATCTGAACTGGGTATCCACGGTAATTTGTTGAGATGGTTCGAGTCATATATGCGCAATCGTTCTCAAGCTGTAGTGGTAGGTAGTTCACGCTCCGACTTTTTGGAGGTACCATCTGGCGTACCGCAGGGTTCCATCCTGGGACCTTTGTTATATGCCACGTACTTATATGATGTTCGTAGATGCTTTAAGCATGCAAAATTTTTAATGTATGCTGATGATACAAAAATCTTTATGAAAATTAATGGGATTACTGATTGCTGTAACCTTCAAGCCGATCTAGATAGATTAAACTCTTATTATATTGAAAATCGTATTGGTATATTAATTTAAAGAAATGTTGTTTTGTATCATTCACTAGAAAAATTAATCCAATTAAATACAATTATAAAATAAATAATTTTACTTTATCGGAGGTTAATAGTGTGCTTGATCTAGGGGTAAAAATGGATTCAAAATTAACATTTTCCGAACATATCGATACAATAGTCGCGAAAGCATACAAAAATTTAGGTTTTGTTTTACGAGTCAGTAAGCCCTTTTCAGACATTGGATGTTTACGAGTACTATACTTTGCATATGTCAGAAGTATTCTGGAGTATAATAGTATAATATGGAATCCTCAATATGTGACGTATATTCAAAAGCTAGAGAATATTCAGTTAAAATTTTTAAAGCACCTACATTTTCGTTTTTCTCGTCACTTTTCAGATGATAGCGAATCTAGTCTCTGCTATAATTTCATGCCTCTTCAAAGTAGACGAACCTTAATGGATATGTCCTTCTTACACGGCATATGTAATAACTACATAGACTGTTGTGAATTAGCGTTACAAATTTTAAGTTTTTGTGTTCCAAATAAACGAACTAGACATACGACACTTTTTGCTACTGCCCTTAAAAGAACTAACTATGCTCAAAATTCGATTGTCAATAGGCTTCACAGAATTTATAATAAAACATTTAATACAATTGATATCTTTCACTCTAGTAAACCTTCATTCAAACGTGAAGTTGCCAAGGTGATTTGCAAAAATATGTCAAATTATAAACTAATCTATAAATTTAAATAGCAAATAGCAATAACATTATAAATACAAGAAAGTTTTTGTAGCAGGTATTAATTGGATACATATATATACGCTATAATTTACATACATCATGTCTATATTTATAACGTATATTTATTTATGTTAAAATATCGTTATTTCATTAAAAATTGTATCGATCACACACACACACGCCCACACACAGACACACACACACACACACACACACACACACACACACACACACGCACACTTTTGACTCACTTTCACATACGTGTGCAAACATACACAATATTCTGCATTTAAATAAATTTCGTGCGCTTTGTTTACCTTTAAATATGTTTATTTTTCATACATCTATTTTTAAGTAAGGTGGTGAATACTCTGTGACGTTCTTTTAAGCTAAATACGTATATTGTAAATCCGTAATTGGCTTCAAGACTTATTTTATAAGATTTGTGTGTAAATAGATTGTTACAAGCTGTGGATTTTGTGAATAATAAAAATAAAAAATAAAAAAAAATAAAAATAAAAAAATATGTCTATTTATAAACTACACAGAAATATTTTATCTTATAACATGAAAAAAAGCATTCATTGCCGTACTGGGCTAGAACCTGTATTTCAGCATATGGCGCCACTCCCCGGACATAATAAACATAAATTATTTATTTATATTATGGAAACATTACCTAACTTTATTCTTTATATTACATATGGGTTATAAAAATGTAAAATAGAAAGAAAAAAAATATGTAAAATGTAGTATCTCTTGTGAATATGGTGCTAGTGTACGTGTGTACGTGTAAAAGCGTGTGTACGAGATGAAGAATACAATTTCATGAATAACTTAGGTTACCTAACAATAGATGTTCGAGATCAGTCCATATTTACTCAGCACTGCACTGTCAAAAGAGCTTCCGTTTCATCATATCCTAGAGTCAGTAACCAAGTTGTTATTTTTTTTTACATTGCTTTATATGTAGGGAGCAAACTGGAATAATTTTATTAACTTTATTATACACAATAGGAGCCAAAGAACAGTAAAATCTCCGAATAAATGAGTTATGAAACTGTTTTAGTTCGCAACGTCTGACTATTCTACAGTTAATAATGATGATTATGAGGATCAAAAATCAGTTCACTGTGTTGTCTCAAGATTATGCTTAAAATAAACAGTTGTATAACGGTAAGGACTTCACAATTTTAAACAGGAGTTTGGTTGGGAATAAGAAAGGTCGAAAAGTGCTTACTTTGAGTACTGCACGCTGGGCAATTTATACTCTTCTATTGACGGACTTATACGGACAAGGCTCAGCTTTCAATAAATTCAATAAGGATTTTTTTTGCTTGTTATATTTTTAATTGCATGGCATATTTTTCCAGCTTCTTTTATTTGATTCTTTTCATAAGTTCTTTTTCCTTTTTTAGTAATGTGTTACAAAAATTTCTATAGCGAGTGTAAGTAATTTTAATTACCTCATTATTTGGATATTTTCTTACTTTGTAATGCAGCTTGTCTCTATTTTTCATGCAGCGTAAAAGACCCGGTGTGATCCAAGGCTTTATAATTTTTTTTTAGTCATTGTACGTCATCATCCCAAATAAATTACTACTTCTTCTTTAAGCCTAATGGGCCCTTTGAAAGTTTTTTTATACGAAATAAGGTTGACAAACGAGTACATTCTTCATCAGATGGTAAGTAAACGCTATGACCCGTTGATATCTACTTGGGTTACATTGAAAATTTTGCGTAACTCATAAATAAAGCAATTTGTATTTAAATTAATATCTTACTGCTTTTTCATTATTCATTATAATATATCTTAAAATACTTTTTCAGTCGTTCAAACCATTTTTGATAACATACGGGTTACTTGTCTGAAGGCATTTTTTTCACATGCTAGTTGAAAGCTATTGGCCTCTTCTAGCTTTTTAAATGTCTACATTTTATAATATATATAATGCGGTGAAGCATTGTCATAGTACACATATGATGCGACTGCTTGGTCGTTCTGCCCTATTTTTTTTAAATAATACACATATGATGCGACTGCTTGGTCGTTCTGCCCTATTTTTTTCAAATAATACACATATGATGCGACTGCTTGGTCGTTCTGCCCTATTTTTTTCAAATAATACACATATGATGCGACTGCTTGGTCGTTCTGCCCTATTTTTTTCAAATAATACACATATGATGCGACTGCTTGGTCGTTCTGCGCTATATTTTTCAAATAATACACATATGATGCGACTGCTTGGTCGTTCTGCCCTATTTTTTTCAAATAATACACATAGGATGCGACTTCTTGGTCGTTTCGCCCTAACTTTTTCAAATAGTTAACATAAGATGCGATTTCTTGGTCGTTTTGTGCAAACTTTTTCAAATAGTATGCATAGGATGCGACTTTTAGGTCGTTTTGCTCTAGCTTTTTCAAACAGTAGACATTGGTTGCGACTTCTTGGACATTTTTCCTAAACTTTTTAAAATATTTGACATAGGATGCGACTTCTAGGTCTTTTTGCCCTAACTTATTCAAAAATATGGTCGTGTACTACTCAGTATTTACTGTCTTTTGCTCATGATGTGGGATCGTGCAGACAGGACCCGTCTGGGAGAAAAAAGGCTTTCGAATACCCATACAGAATATTGTTATTTTCTTTCCGGAATGTAACAATATATCCATGTTTCATCTTTTGTCATAATGTCATAAACAGGCATTTGAACGATCAAATTATACACCAATCAACTCGAGCCCGTTTTTGTTCTGGGGTGAGTTCATGAGGAATCCAGCGGTAACAAAGTTATGTAACTTTTAAATGTTAATGTTTTTTTTAAGCTATTGCATAGCTTCTATCGCGGGCCTTGAGCGCGGGGACCGAATCCAGAAATTCCGTAACGAAAAAAAACTTCACGCTCCCCACTCCGACGGGCACGGAGGTGTGGCGTTGAAAGCCGTGCATCGTCTAACGTCGTTTCAGTTCGGCAGACTTCGGCACTCGGCGGACTTCGGCACGGTGTTTGTGTGCGTGCGACTAGACGTATGCGTGTACACTAGCTGCTAACTCAATGATAAAAATTCCTGAATAACCTACATGTATTGTAATATATTAAAAATATTTTAAACAATATTAACTTCTCATTTATTCAATAAGAGAAAAAAATTGTTTTCTTATCGGTCACCACGCTCAAAAAGTGTAACTTGATTTAATATCAAAGACTTAACTGCATAAATAAAATAAATAAATAATTATAATTGCATAAGTTGATAAAAAATGCTATGCAATAGCTTTACCGCGACAGTCACCGAGTGCCACACGTATTTTTTCTTTTCGAATTTGGCTAATACCAATACCCAAGTATCCACAATTTCTTCGCCATAGGTGATTCACCGGTTTTCTACAATTAGTCGTCTGACAGCAGCCACATTTATCTCAGTAATCGCAGGTGACGAATTCTGCGTGTCAACGCCTTACGATTGGTGAACTATTTTAATCTGTGCTTACGGTACTCAAATGCGCACAACAATCTTGCGGAGCGAGTGAACTTTTAAAATGAAAAAAAAAAGTATGGCTCTTAAATATTACCGCAGTATTTCCATTTTTGCTATGGATGATGAACTTCTGTTTGTGATTGAGGTTTTATGTTATTTGGTGTTTGTTTTTTATAAACTTATTTCTGTATAGTCCACTCTAGGGACCTATAAATAAAATGAAAAAGAAAAGAATACATCTATTTAATGGAATTGATGTGGATGTGGTGTGCGTAGGCACTTGTGCCGTCGCTGGTGTGGCGGCTCGCACACGCTGCTGGCCGCAGGCCGCCAGCACGCACGTGCTGAGATCTCTCCGCGCCCCTGTCGCCACTACGAGGGCCTGGGTACCGATGGGAAGGTGCAATATCAATTTCCTTAATTAATGTACATTTTTATAGAATAAGGGTGATAAACGTGGCTACCTTCTTCCAGCTGGAAGAAGGTAGCCAGGCAGCATGACAACTGGAGGAAGATTGTGGAGGAGGCCAAGACCCACAAAGGATTGTAGCGCTAACGGAAGTGAAGTGAAGTAAGGGTGATAAACGAGCCACAGTCCAACTGATGTTAAGTGATTGCGCAGTCCATAGAAATCTACGTTTATCCTCGTTTAAGAATTAAAATGTCTGAGGTTAGAATTCTTGGCAGCCGGAGGTCTAACGCCGCTCGCGTGTTAAGCGTGGCGATTACAGAATACAAATATTCTATTATAAAGTAACTTTGCAACTGCATTATACGTGGTGGAGCCACGCCGCACCTATATTATGATTGTAACAGAAATGGGTTAGCTCGACCGAGATAGGACCACGCTTCAATAGAATATACTAACGTAATATTTATAAATTGGATATATTAAGATAAAAACGTAAAAGCTATTTTACGTTAGAATGGAATATACTAACGTAAAATAGCGGCTTAATGCTGCTGTGTTTCTTATGGTGAGTATAGAGAACCAGAGACTCTTTTTAGTGGAAACTAGACAATAAAACTGAGTCCGTATGGGTGACAACGCATCGGCAGTTTTGGTTTTGAATCAAGAATAGATGAAGATGATTATGGGCCACAGTAGGTATCTACCCACCATTAGGTGAACTGTATAACTGAGTGCCTTATCCTATAATAAAAGATTACTTTTATTAAATAAAAGTGAAAGACGAACTCGTGAACTGTTAAATCTACCTCATGATGAGAGTGCAACTGCACGTCATAAACATATTTTATTATTATTGTATTACCAATATTTCCATTAGTCACTCCAAGTTACATAAAAATTAAAATATTAGTAGTGGTTCACGACAGTAATGATTTGAACCAATGACTTTCTGGTAATATTCAACACCCTTAACTATTAGCCTACTGTCATTTCAAGAAGTTTTTTTTACAAGAACGAAGTTATATATATAAACCCAGAAAACTAAGATAAAATGTTACACGGTCCGTAATTAAACTCGATTCCCAAACAGCGTTAACACAGATGTTATATGGTGACCACAATTAACATAAATGGTCACAATAAATTATTGTCATTATTTTGTGAAAAGGTCATTGCTGGCTGTGTTTTCGAATTAATTGAATTGCCATAGCTTTTTGGCGATTTTATGATCGCAATACCAGATCTATAATACTTTTTATGGCGAGTGGCCTAAAGTACCTACAGGAAAAAATAATTTTAACAAGTAAACAAGTAGATACAAATTCTGGCTCCAGTTATACCTGATGGAGGAAGAGTTGCAACCGTGTGAGGAGTGTAACGTGCCAGTTCTAAAGCCGGTAGCTCTAGGACTTGAAAATCCCGAAGTGCATATTGCAGGTGGCGCTGGCGACGCAGCGCAGGAACAAGGCTAGCATAGTGTACTGATAAAGTTTTATTATCTGTACGAATTGAATGTTTGCATTTCGATTGTTACGAAATTGAAATATTTTGAATTTTGATAATTTATATAAATAAATATAATTTAAATTTATTTAAAATAAATTACTAAATGTACTATTGAAAAATATTGAATACTTTGAGGATTAAAATGTTACAAAAAGTTTTATTTTTGTTTTTACACTCATATATCATTGACAAGTATAATAGTCATAATTATGTACGCGTAAACCGGTCGAAAGATGGGCATCTTTCCAAGTTTTGAAGATTTTGGCGTGGTAGTTGTCTGATAGATTAACACTAAGCCTGCATAATCCGTCGTCTTATTTTAATTACTTTAAGGAGTATATAATACGTAACCACGTTAAATTAAGCCAATTGCCCGTGCGAAGTTTTGCTAATGTATCCTAATTACAAAATTTATTGAGTTTTGTTAAACACAATACGATTCTTAAATGAAACACACGGACCTAATTCGCAGTAAATTTAACGGTAGGCTAGTAAACCTTAAGCTATACTTAACGGCGTTAATAAAATTGTACGATATAATTTAAAGTGCTGATAAACCACATGATTGGCTGTGAACAAAAATATCATGAGGAGAGCTGAAAAAAGAATATTTCGAGGAAAAATTTGGTAATCAAAGTTCTAAACCAAAAACAGTATATATAGAATGGCTCCGAACTCTCACAAATGCGCCCTCCTTTCTTAGAGATCTCTAGTCAGATCGTTAAGCCAATTCCTAAAAGGTTGAGTTTAGTGGGTAAAAGTCACCACATAACCACACAGCCGGCTGCGTGGTATGCTATGAGCATTCTCAACTTCCCTCCCCCGCTTTCCGGAGGGTTGCCCATATTTGCTTCGGGCGCAAAAAAAACTATCACAAGCAGATTCCGCCTGTGGCATCGCTCTCGAGCGGTCGCATCCAGGTAGTCCGCGCTTTCGTCCTTGTACGGTAGTGCTCTCTCGCTCTCGCGCCTCCGCTGTCCTGCTCGCGCTGTACAGCGCCGACGCATTGCTCACTCCGCCGGTGGCATCGTTCTCGGAGGGTCGCCTCCAGGTGGTCCGCGCTCTCGTAGCTGTACGGTAGCGCTATCCTGCTCTCGCGCCTCCGCTGTCTTGCTCACGCTGAGCAGCGTCGAGGCTGGTGAGTCACTTTCACGCTACAGTTCTTGCCCCCCTGTCTTCGGGCAGGGAGGTTTGACTGACCTCCGCTTTTTCAATTTTCAATTTTTTTTACGTGTTTTTATTTTTATACGTGTATTGTCTCGTAGTACGTCTCGCGTTCAAGTCCCTGTTCTACTGAGAACAGGGACCCGTCCCAATCGTTACCGAGCTTAGCTCTACTGCCCCAAAATGGCCACATATAGCCTATCTGAGTCCCTCGCCGCCCTCATAAACCAATATGGTTTAAATAACAATGAGACGGCCGCCATCGCCACCATCGCCGCCCAGGCTCCCCCCCCCCTGCCCCTCAGGCACACCAGGAATCAAATATGACCATGCCATCAACCTTGGCGAATCTATCAAAATCGTCCCTAACTCAATCGAAGACTTCCGAAAACTCACCAGGTTTTTCACAGCCGAACGAGTATCTTACCACACCTACGCTCTTCCGGAAGAGCGAAAAGTCAGGGCCGTCATCCGAGGCGTCCCATTTGAATTCACCAACGAGGAAATCCTTGAGGACCTTAAGTCCCAAGGATTCCCCGTAGAAGCCGTGCACAAAATGCACAGTAGAACGGGCAAGAGGTTCAACCTAGCCCTTGTCATCCTAACCAACGTGCCGGAGGCAAAAGCCATCTTCCGGCAGGTGTGTACAGTGTGTGGCCTGTCGAGAGTGAAGGTTGAGCCCCCACATAGCCGCGGATTCCCGGCGCAGTGCCACCGCTGCCAACTATATGGTCATGCGACGGCCAACTGCTCAGCCCCACCCAGGTGCGTTAACTGCTGTTAACACTAAAGAGTGCCCCCGGCCCAAAGACGCCGAATCCCCGCCCGCATGTGTCCTGTGCAAACAGACAGGCCACCCGGCTAACTACAGGGGCTGCCCCTGCGCACCTCAACCTCGCCCCTGTAGGCAAGCTCCACCGCTGGTCAATGACCGCTCATTCCCGGCCCTCCACCAACGGCCTCGTCAAGGCCTTTCTCAGCCCATCCAGGGCTTCTCTCGGCCCTCTCAGGGTCCCCCTAGGCCCTCTCAGGGCATAATTCGGCCCCCTCCGGGCTTCTCCAAGCCTATGCAGCCTCCAGTTTTTCCCTGTTGCCCCAAAAAGGCAGACCCACCGCGGACAACCTCCTACACCCATGAATCAGAGCCCACAGCTGATGACTATAATACACGGTATTCCGCTATTAGGAATATTGACATTAGGGAAATCACTGTAGTAGCACGCAAACTGCGCGCTGCGAAGTCCCCTCAAGAACGTCTCCTCGCTCTTTCAGAGCATCATAATCTTCTGTTAGCGTTGTAAGTTAAGTTAACATAATTAACTTAACTTCAATGACAGAGCAGTCTGCTCTACCAAAATCTCATGGTCGTATCAAACCTAAGGGTTTATCGCTTGTATCCTTTAATATTCGCGGTTTGCGAAATAACCTCCCAGAGCTTAAGCTCTTTCTTCGGAATCGTGAAGCCGATTTCCTCCTCCTACAGGAAACTAATCTCAAAACTAAGGACACTAAAGGCCTTTCTATTAAAAACTTCTCTCTTCTTTGTAACGACAGACCCGACAGCCGAGGCGGCGGAACGGCCATCTATTACAAGAAGACACTTCACTGCTCGCCCATTTCTACTCCGCAGCTTACCAACATGGAAGCCACAGTATGCAGGCTAGCTATGACTGGACATCAGTCCATCCTCATAGCCTCCTGTTACATCCCTTCAGGAACCCATCCCCTCAAAAAAGATTTTGAGGCCATTTTATCTTTAGGCAATTCAATCATTATGTTTGGAGATTTTAACTCCAAGCATACTGAATGGACATGCCGTACTACGTCCCCTAGTGGTAAGATACTGCTCGATATCACGCAGTCTCTTGATTTTATCGTCCATAGTCCCCTCGGTGTTACTCACTTTCCCGATAACACCGATCACGCCCCCGATGTACTAGATTTTGCGTTACTCTAAGGAGTTTCTCTCAACCTCAGAGCAATCGAGACACTAGACGATCTAGGATCCGACCACCGACCGGTCTCCCTCATTCTTGGCCATCAGCCACCTCCCCCAACACACACGAAAACCTTCACTAATTGGAAGGGATTCAAGGAGTCCCTAGCTAAAGCTCTGGACTCACAGGACTCTACCATCTCCCTACCGTCGGACTTAGACAGTCCCGAAAAAATAGACACCGCGGTCGATTCACTCTCCACTCTTATTAAATCCACCCTTAAGGAGAACGAAAGGGTCGTCTCGGTTGCTAACAATAGTGGGCTTCCCCTACATATTAGCAACCTATTAAAAGCCAAAAAAGCTGCTTTCCGGAGAGCAGCAAAATATCCCAGCCCCGAATATAGGCGCGCGGCCAATGGTCTTCAACGAGAACTCCGTTTCCGCCTCTCTGAATTTCGAGACCTCGAAAAGAGATAATCTCTCCATCTCATACAGCGTACTATCAGATGGCCAGAGCCCTCCGCATAGACGCTATCACCCACACTCCCCCCCTCTCCCGACCCGACGGCACGGTTGCCTTCGAGGACGAGGAAAAGGCTGAGTGCTTTGCAGATAGCATTGCCGCACAATGCTCTCCTAGCTCTCAACCCGTCGACCCCTCACACGTCCAGGCAGTGGAGGATGAGGTCCGCCGCCGGAACTCACCCCCTACGGCCTCCGAACATATCTATGTGTCCAATGATGAGATTTCATCCCTCATTAAAGGACTTAAGCCTAAAAAGGCTCCGGGCGCGGATGGCATCTCCAACCAAGCCCTAAAACACTTTCCTGAGCAGGTGTTAACCTTTTTATCTATTATCTTCAACGCCTGCTTCAACTTTAGTTACTTTCCCAATACGTGGAAAGAGGCAACTGTGATTGGAATTCCCAAGCCAGGCAAGCCTCTCAACCTCCCCCTCCAGTCATCGCCCCATTAGCCTCCTCAAGGCAATGGGCAAGCTCTTCGAAAGAGTCATCCAAACACGTATGAGGCGCTATCTGTTTCCCACAGACGGTGACCCTGTTATCATTCCCCATCAATTCGGTTTCCGAGCGCAACACTCATGTCCCCAACAAGTTCACCGTATTGTGGAATATATCCTCAGCGGTTTTTATCCTCGTCGTCATAAGACCATCGCGGTCTTTTTCGACATAGCTAAAGCCTTCGATAGAGTCTGGCATACAGGCCTTATCTACAAACTCTACAAAATAAGTCTCCCCGATCGCCTAGTACGTCTCGTGGCCTCTTACTTAAAGTATTGTACCTTTCGTTTTAGACACTTCACAGTGGTAGAGCCACGCGGCAGCTTTGCTGTCGCACGTATGGGCCGGCTCAAACCGGGGTGGTACCACGACCTCACAGAATACCGGCGTGAAGTGGAAGCTCTGCTTCCGCGTTTCGTCTGGTGAGTGCAGGTGGCCGGAGGCCCAAATCCCCCCCCCCCATCAACATGGTAGCGGAATTAAATGATAGACTACCCCAGGAGGGTACCAGCACCCCTGGAGAATCCCTCGCTGAGCATCCACGACCATGTTTCTCCACTTCTGAGCGTGGGTGCTCAGGCTGCCCCGCGTATTCTGGGGGGGGGGGCAATATTCCGCTCAAGACTAAAACTGCTCGGGGCAAACGGAGCAGCAAGACCAAGGCGACCCCTGCCACGCTGTCCGTGAATTTCTGCAATATCAGGGGACTTCACTCTAACCTAAACGCCGTCCACTACCATCTCGAGACGGCGAGGCCGGCTCTGCTCTTTCTGACCGAGACGCAGGTGTCCTCTCCGGCTGATGTCTCGTATCTCTCCTGCCCGGGGTACAAACTGGAAC